GGATTACTATGTAACCTATATGCAAGATTTGGATTACTGTGTAACCTATAAAAATGCAAGATTTGGATTACTGTGTAACCTATAAAAATGCAAGATTTGGATTACTATGTAACCTATAATAATGCAAGATTTGGATTACTATGTAACCTATAATAATGCAAGATTTGGATTACTGTGAAACCTATAATAATGCAAGATTTGGATTACTGTGTAACCTATAAAAATGCAAGATTTGGATTACTGTGAAACCTATAATAATGCAAGATTTGGATTACTATGTAACCTATAATAATGCAAGATTTGGATTATTGTGTAACCTATAAAAATGCAAGATTTGGATTACTATGTAACCTATAATAATGCAAGATTTGGATCATTGTGTAACCTATAATAATGCAAGATTTGGATCATTGTGTAACCTATAATAATGCAAGATTTGGATTACTATGTAACCTATAATAATGCAAGATTTGGATTACTGTGTAACCTATAATAATGCAAGATTTGGATTGCTGCATATCATAAACATAATCAGTGACTGATAAAGAAATAATTCAGAAATTGTCTCATCATTGACAAAAGTCTCAACCTTTGATCTTGACCTTCCTTTGACACCTTTTTCAGCAGATCAAGATGTATTAACAGTGATAGTAGGTAATGATGGAAAGCATAACATTTTGCCAAAATTATAAAATAAAGCCATCATTTTGGCATGGATTATAATTGAAATTAAAAATGAGTGCAAAATATAGTTTGCAATCAAAGATAAAGTGGTTAATTTGAGAGACCAGGCTGGAAATCACATAATTTATGTTTTAAAGTTTGCTCAAACTGTACAATGTAATTCTACTGTAAATCTCTTTCATTTGAACCCTGTGCATTAGTTACAAGATCAGATGACTATTTGTGTTATACCTGATTTAAACGTAAACACAACATATAAAAAAATCAGCATTAGTTACCTTGCATTTACTAAAAATACTTGCCTATGAATGAGATGACGGGAAATTTTAGTGCAAGTGACCTTTCTGGGACCAGCTGAATCACATCAGTTTGCTTTATCATCCTACACAAAGCAAAGTTTGAAATCAATAAACATTTTATTTTCTGTTCAGACTTTAATGCTACTTTCAATCTAATGTAATTAACCTTCTTCACTGCTTAGCAAATATCCCAAAAATGTCAGAGAAATTACTAATAATGATTTTCTTGAGGACTACAATAGAGTGCAAACAACAGCTGATTGGTTCAGTTAGGGAAGGGATACACAAACAGCTGAGACAAAGTGAGCTGTATGCACTCAAATTATTATAAATGTAAGCACATACTGATAATTTCTGATTTTTTTTTATTAAAAAAATTCACAAAATATATTTTTTAGAAAGAAAGCAAAATATCATAATCGTGACAGCATTGTTAAAAATATTATTGTCCATAAAAATAGCCCAAAATATTATCTGGCTGGAGTCGTAATGGAAATTGAGGCTAAATGTATGGTTAAATTCTGTTTTTCCTTTTTTTGTTAATGATTACAAAATTTGGGGAGATAGTATAATTATTAGTAGTTATACTGATTCGATTATCATATTACAACAAACTGTCAATTTGGTCGTTGTGATTCATCTATTCATCTACCACCTTCATCCGACACCCATTTCGTAACGGACTTTATTTGTGAAATATCACAGTGTTAATTACATCAACAGCCATTTATAGTGTAGTAAAACAACATAAACTTGTTTGTTTTATTTTTTATGCACGAATTTAGTTTCCGCTGTTTTTTAATATGGGGACTTTATGAGATGGTCGTGTTAACCGTTCTGAACAAACCTTATCGCTGAAACTTTTGTATAAAAAAAATTTTTAAAAAAATTATCGCTGTAAAGCATATGCAAACCTGTAAAAATATAATAATAATAATAATAATAATAATAATAATAATAATAATAATAATAATAATAAATGAAAATTTTACAATCAACAAATTAAATCTAGTACAGAAAACTTTATCCCTTACCTCCCATTGTCAAATAATAGATTCTATTCAGATTCATATGGAATAATTATAAAGGATTACCCAGGAAATCGTCATAGTTAAATTGGTCGTGGGTTCGATCCCCGCTAGAGTCATACCAGAGACTTACAAAAATGGTACTAACAGCAGCCTCGCTTGGCGCTCAGCATTAACAGGTTATTGTTAGGACTGGTCGGCCTGGTGTCAGGATAATGTGACTGGGTGGGACATTATACTACATGCCTGCGGAGTGATGCCCCAGTGCTAAAAAAATCACTATAAACTGACACACTGCAGACATCGTAGCGATATGACTGAAAAATTGTTAAAGCTACGTTAAAAATCAAGATCGCATCACATCACGTCGTAGTCAAATTAATGAGACCACATGAGTCTGCAATTTTATCAATAAAGCACGACGAAATTTCGTCGTGCTTTATTGGTAAAACTGAATACTCCTGTGATGAGACGCACGTATTTATTCTATTACAGTAACTTAAGTCTTGTGAGGTTGTATTTTGCGAAAACGCTTCTTTCTATGAAAGGATTCGCAAAAAAATAAATTTGCGAAATACAGACACGTGCTTCTGTAAAGATTCTATAATAATTTCAAGTTGCATTTAAGAACTCTCACGAATTTATATTATGTGAGTTACAGGTTCCAATATAAGGCCATCGCAGACGATACAGTCATGGCCGTGCCACTATTGAATCTTAAAATGTAATAATGTTGTCGCGTGGTTAATATGGAACGCCACAGCTGTCTTAAGATGATAACATTTATTATATGATTTGCAAACTTTATATGCGGTGCTTTCGTTTTTATATCACGGAACTTGAAAAACCCTAGTAAGAACCACTTACCCACGGGAAGCTACTGGCTAGCTTTCTCACTTAACCACATTAGCTGAGAATGAGATTCGAACCGACAGCGTACAAAGATGAGATGCTTCAGACCATTCACACATCCGGGGCCCCAAAGTACTAGTAGTAGTAGTAGTAGTAGTAGTAGTAGTAGTAGTAGTAGTAGTAATAATAATAATAATAATAATAATAATAATAATAATAATAATAATAATAATGGATGGTGATCATGAAGTTAATAAATTAAATTGCTAAATGGTTATTTGTCATTTCCTTTTGTACACGTAAAACCTTTAATGAAAAACACCTGTCTGTTGTAATATTATGGAAATATATACAGCGCAATCAAAGAATTTCATTGGTAAAATCGTGTTGTACAATATTAAGCATTCGCCTTTTAGTAAAGCATAACATGAATAATCGTATTACAAGAACATACGTAAGCTTTTTAATCTTGTAAGCAAAAAATGGTTAAACTTTCAATAACGTTACTCAGACTGTATTGATTGCTAATTAAATCAAATTCACCTTCATTAAATTCCATTTATACAAACGTAATTTCGCTCACATTCACAAACATCTTAAACAAAATTTAAACTCAACACTTATTAAGTCCTACTTATGTAATTTTCTTCAGCATTTTTTAATATACCTTATAGAGTAGCAAAAAATGTAATATTGAAAAGTAAAATCAAGGTTCTGTTCGCTTCTGGTCTAATCTGGTAAATATAACAGTTTTTTATCTTAAAGCATTTAACCCAGTACTTCTCAAAATTGCAGAGAATTCGCTTGTGTGTGTGTGTGTGTGTGTGTGTGTGTGTGTGTGTGTGTGTGTGTGTGTTATTACTGACTGTGATGTTTATACATAATTTGATTAGCAATGGGTAATGGATAAATGATTATAAAAGACGTAATTATAATAACAAAAATAAAGATCAATGAGAAAAATCCAAGGACATAAATTATGGCAGGGGGTAAGTCCGAGGGAAAAAATTGTTTTGCTTCATTTTAGAAATGAGAAAATATGTTTCGAATAAAAATGATAATATTTTGCTATTTGGAAAAATGTTTTGGAAATAGCAAAAATAGTGATGCTATTTCGAAACGATCTATTCGAAATTTTAAAAAGAAAAGATTTATTCGAAATAACGGGGGGGGGGTAGTTATAACGATTATCTTTTCTTCATTATATCCAGGAACATGTTTCGTTACACAAAAAAAACCAAAACAAAAACGGTTATCTTGAAAAGAACATTTGGAAATAAAGAAGATCTGGTATCATTAATTAATACAGAAGATCTGGTATCAATAATTAATAAAGAATATCTGGTATCATTAATTCCATGAATCGAGAAGCTCTTTTTGTTACGCGGAAAATATATTTCGTTTTGAAATGACGAAAATCATTACGTTAGTTGGAAAAGTAAACAAAAGTATTCTCTTTCTACTATGCCCATGCGGATATACATTTGATGGGGTTATTAATTTCATCTGTTTTTTTTTCTTATTAATTTAAAAGTTGCTAAACTCGTATTATGCATCATCTTTTACACAATTTAGTCCTCTTTCGTGCCCACATGATGTTCGGATGAAAGGTCAAAATGTATTTTTTTTTTTTAGTTGTTGGAAAGTTCACATGACGTAAATATTATACAAAGTCATAAATCAGTTAATAAATTATTGTAAAATAATACCTCTATTGGGTTACTCTATTATACACTGCATTAAAGGAATTTGTAGGGGAATAGATGGTCATTTCATTAAAGGTTTCCTTATGTAGAACAAGGACCTAACCACGTTTTGCGTGCCCGCGATGCGCCTGAAATAGATTGTAGATAGATCTTAATATGATGGCAGTCATAGAAATTCAACGTGGTAAAATAGCTACAATTCTCGGAAGATGTCTGTGAGGTCCCCGAAAGAAGAAATCAGTTGATGATGATGGCGATTTAGAGTGATATACATAGGTCAACTGGGAAATTACCGACACACAATAAATATGGATTTGTTACCGTTAGCAGACAGTAGAATCCCGTGAGGGTTGAATTAGTTATATATGTGTATGTAGCGACACGTTTTTTCCAATATGGATAAAAAAAATTCTGGTTTAAAAAAAAAAAATTGCCCCGGGTGAGGATCGAACTCACAGCCTCCGCATCGCCTAACCCTGTGCAGAACACAGGAGAGGTACTGTCTATAAGTACGGCGCGCTAACCGATTGCGCCACCGGGGCAGACACTACATCCATCATAAAATCTTTAGAAGAGCGAGGTTTAGTTCTAAGTTTTATTTGTATATTTTTTGTTTTGTCAATATTAATTGATATTGTTGATATTAATATCTTTCCATAATTATTTTTATTTAATTAATTTATCTAAAAAGAGTTTTCGTCCTTAACTTAATGTACTATTCTCGTTCCCTTCTGACCCGATGTGTTTTCGTTAATGATGAATTTTATATATATTACCTGCTACGCCCACTTATCATTTTTGCATACAGAGATCTCAATTACATTAGATACGTTCAAAATAAGTCTGTTTTCCATAGCAATTGCAATGTTTGTTATAGACACAGTAATGCATTAAAGAGTTTTGAAATACGATTAAGATACACTATTTACATCCGTGTTACGATGTGTTATGTACATGAGTGTACATGGCTATGTACATGTGTACATATTCCATTTTGAATATTTGTATATACATATCAACAAAAAAAAATGAAGATATTTGTGTTGATAGTAGACATAATCAGAACAAATGCAATAGCCTGTAGATTTAATCATTAGCTTGAAAAATGCTTATCTTGCAGTCAACAATTTATATTGTACGAAGTTTTAGGTCTGTTGTACGTCATAGCTGCAGTACTATATAACATGTATGTTTGTCAGTTTAGTATCAGGTATAACTGAGTGAAAACGACATCTGGCACTAAGGGCGTATACATTTTGGTATAAATAATCTATAGTAAAGACTTCTCAGTCAAACCTGGGTCAGGTAATCGTCTAAAATGCTACTTGTAATCAATGACAGGTGCATTTCTGTAAATACTGCCTATTCAAGGTGGGTGGGGGTGGGGGCATAAGAGGCCGTTCATGTAATAAGTAGTAATAGTACCAGTTAGAAAAGTAACACATTTAATGGCATACTAAAATTAAATGGCTCCAGGGGCGATGATGAAGACCCAAAGAGATTTGGTGTCTCAAGACCTCAGACGTCTGGTTTTTCCCCCAACCCAAGACCTCTGTTGCCCGGCACAACCGCTGCGTCCGAGATTTTCCCCTTATATATTCTATACAAAAGTAACTCGTTAGAAAGCTGCAGTTGATGTTTTTGCACACACACGCAAAAAAAAAACCACTTTACAAAAGTAACGGTATCCTTTTCGTCGGGCGTTCCTTAATGAACTGAATGTTTCATTTCGACTAAAGAAAATGACATACATCTCAAATCATTGATCGTAGGTATATAATTCGGCAGCTGCGTATTGAGCAATGATCGGGGGACAAATATTATAGCATACAATATCACTGGAGAAATACTTAAATCAATAGTTACAAATGAAGAAGTACAAAATATCGAGTATAGCTGAGAGTCGGACCAAAGGGAATCATACACGATGATATTGCACATGTCATATAATTGACCATCCCTTTTACTAAACTGAAATGACCGATCCGATGGCCAAGTGATTAGAGGTCGCGGGTTCAAACTCTGGCCGAGTCATACCAAAGGCTTTTTTTTTTATTTAAAAAAAATGGTGCTTAAAGCTGTCTCGCTTGATGCTAATCATTAAAACGTTAGAGTTAGGACTGGTCGGCCTGGTGTCAGGATAATGTGAATGGGTGGGACATGATACTACATGTCTCTGATATGACGAGTCAGTGTTAGACATCATTATACACTGTCTCACTGCAGAAATCGTAACAATATGACTGAAACGTTGTTAAAGCTACATTTAAAATCCAAATCACACACACACACACACACACACACACACACACACACTGATGTGAGTGACCATGCAGAGTTGAACTACTGACAAGCTCAGCTCATACTCTTCATTTATGAAGTTGTGAACTCTATAGGTCATTTAAACTTAGTTCCTCTTCTTCACTGATTGCTACACACGCACACCTGGATTGGTTACTAACTGCATTTATGTCACACGGAGAGAGAGAGAGAGAGAGAGAGAGAGAGAGAGAGAGAGAGAGAGAGAGAGAGAGAGAGAGAGAGAGAGAGAGAGAGAGAGAGAGAGAATGTGTGAATCTAACTACTCAGAGGCAATTCATTGCGACGTCATTGGAATATTATATTTGGTAATGTGAAACTCATTCATATCCTAATCGACACGACCTTACATATATACCACACTGATCTATTACAACGCACCAACAACCCTCCGGCAAAAATATTTCTACACATTGATAAACGAGAAAAATAAAGGAAGTAAAAATAAGAGAAGTCATTACCGACTTGTGTTTGGTTCGTCTGCAGACAAAAGTGAATTAGTCATACACAATATAAGAAAGATTCAACGTTTCAAACTAGCTATCCATAATAATGAATTCCTTAGGGTTTGGTTGAAAATCAAGCAGTAAACTTTTAGGTTTCCATGCAAATTTTCTATTTTCAAAACTTATTTAGAGGCAGGTGGTCAGTTCTAACACTTGTCATAAAACAGCACGTGGCTAATAAACTAAATACTTCCAGCGCGTTACTTTTTTTTATAGTATATAAAAGAAAAAAAAATATTGCTTGTTACTGTTGCCCTTTTGTGACACGAACCGCCACTCATAGTGGATTGCAATATATTTCCACAATGAATGTTTGGATAAACAAAATTCTATTTTAGAAGAAGAAAAAAAATCGCTTTATGTGTTCAGGAGCAAGAAGATGCATGGTAAATACAACGTAATTCGATAATTTTTGTAACCCTTTTCTTCAGTTTAGTCTTCATGGGTCGCAACCTCTTCTAAAGATGTTTGTCTAATCTGCTGAGGTGCAGGTGACAGTTTTTCTGCACAAATTTAATGTTGCTTATGTCTGCCTAATTCAATAATTAATGGGGAAAAAATATTTTTTAAAAAAAACATGACAAAAGGTCCATATTTTCGGGATAGATATTATAAAGCTACACTTAAAAATATTCGATTGATCTGACCAGTCAATGGAAATGAAAAGAAACAAAAAAAAATGATGCACCCCTTCTCTCAAATTTATACATGCATTTTTTTATGTCTAAAGGCATTTTTGAGAACACATGGTGCTCACGGTGCAAACACACGCCCATTCCCTGGGTGATAATTTTGAAAAGGTTAGGTATTTAAAGGTTTGATGCTATTCAACTAGTTTTCATCCAATCAGTTTTTTTAGATATCCTACTTGCCTTGAACCAACCGCGGTCTGGAATCATTACACAATTAATAGAATCCGGTTCAACGAATGTAGTTCCAGTCTATTTTTAGATCTCTTTTTCCGGTCTAAATTTGGTGGTGATACTAGAGTTAGATTTTGGCATTCTTGGTAAGGATTTAAAGGCAATTGATTATTCTTTAAAATGTGAGCTTATGGTGTGGTTGTCTGTGTGTATTTCGGCGACAGTGCACATTGAGTAATAAGGTCATGGTGATGATCCGGAAGTGAAATTTGTGTTCCGTTGCCTGGTGTTTTGTTTACAATTCAGCCTCTCAAAAAAATGCAGGTCAACCCTTGACAAGAACTAAACCGTAAAGTCATCTTTGAAGGTATTTTAGATTAACATATGATTTGTATTTGATTGTCACACAGTGGAAAGTTCAGTACTGAGAAACAAATGTAGAGACCATATAGTAAAATTAATTGTGTACTATGACCTGTCAGTAAAAACTTGAAACTGATATAAATTTTTTATTACTAATGACATATACATGAAATTTTAATATGTTATGTATATTGACTTTAAAAATATAAAAATGAAATTAAAAGTAAAAAAAATAATTTTAATTTTAAAAATTTAAATGAAATTGAAAATAACATTAAAAAATAAAAAATTTCCACCAAGTATACACATATATAATATTTTTTGGGAATGATATTAAATGATATCAGCATATATATACTCCTACACCATGTACAAGCTCAAATGATGGATATTTGTCAAATTTGATCAGAGAAAATATCTTTATTAGTCAAAATGAGACCCTCATTTAAAATACATGAAGACAAAATTCTATTTTGCTTTGTACCTTTAGGTTATTGAAACTATTTATTTGGGGTTCAAACAGTTAATTTATGTGTTTATGATGGGGTGACTTCCTGAGTAACACATATCTGCTTGTATAGCTATCAGTAATTGTTTATAACCATAGTTATATGGTATTTAGTGAGAGGACAGAGATGAAGACTTTATACTAGAACCTGTTCATGTTCTCTACAAAATCATATTAAGCTGTCAGAGAATGAAATACAGGTTAGAGGGGTAAAATATACTTTACCCAGGTATATTTACCATTGCATGTAAGAAAACAGCAAAATGATATAAGTTGAACACAGAATGCATTCCATTTTATTGTTCAGTTTCTTTAAGATGTTGATTGATGTAGTGCGACATTGTAGCCCAGATGATATTATGGGAATTCTCATGATCCATTTTGCTTTATGCATTATTAATGACTAATAATATTTGTTATCTGACACTTTAAAGATTACATAAGTAATATTCAAACAGATTATTTAAATTTAACTTTCTACAACTGATCGTAACATGATTACATAGCTGACATGAACAAATATGCATATATTTTGTAATGTTTGGAATCAAAAGTTGACATTGTTAGGCTGACATGATACCTATAGTGAATCTGTAAGGCTCAGTTTTGACTGTGTGCACTTAAAATATCCCAAGATGTTATTTTCATCATGAATATGCCTCTGTATGGTAACACATTTCAATTTAGTACTTTGACAAAGGGAAGTATTGCAGCATCAGCTGATATTTGATTCCATTGAATCATTGAATCATTGAACTTAATAACTTGGTAGCCAAGACTCTTAAAAATAGACTAAAAATGTTCAAACAGATTATTTGAATCATGTTTGCACATGTGATTTTAACAAGTACATTGCATATGTCCCACACATGCAAATATCCATCCTTGTTTACAAGTTTTCGGGATGAAAATTTCACATTTAGTTGATGATATAGGATCTATTGGTACCTATAGTTGATCTGTGTGGCCACATTTTGCTATAT